CCCCCCCCCCCCCCCTGCCATCAGCTGGAGCCAGCACAGCCCCCGCTTTCTGCCTCCACCCCTTGGAGGATGCTGGACAGAAGGGCTCTCGTTCCTGTCAAAGTGGTCAGCTCGACACCAACTTAGAGACACATCTAGGACGCAGGCAGAGTGGTAACCCCTGCGACCCTCCCCTGAGGGGCTGAGACACGTCCATCCGTGACACTGTTTTGGTGAAGTGACTTTTTGACCCAGAGAGATGCAGCTTGTCCCTCTCACAGGCTTCCGTCAGAGGTGGGTGCTTCCTGAACCGGCATTCACCCCGTGCACCCCGTGAAGATTGCTCTTGGGTTCTGCTCTGTGCTGCTCCGTCTGGTCGCCACCCATCAAAGTCGCTCTCACGCTACCCCTGGGTCAGAACCCTGGGAAGCTCTGCTGGGGGCTGCCGGCCTCTGCCGCGGGCGGGCCTCACTCACTGGCTCCAACACCAAGTGGCCCAGAGCCCACTGCAGCGCGAGGTGGCCTGAGGAGTTCCAAGGGCCACAAGCAGCCCCAGGTTGTCAGATGGCCCCCAGGCACAGGCGTGTGGGAACCTTTGTCTGCCTCTGAGGACCACGGCCCCCTGCCGCTGCGGCTGCAGACTTCTGGACACCAGCTGGACTTTGCAGGCGGGAGCCGGTGAGGGATTCTGGGGGCCAACGGGGGAGGGCCAAGGCAGGGAAGGGGAGTCAGGCTGGGTGGTTTGGAGGCTGAAGCAGTCGCTGGTCCGGCTCCTGGGCTCCTCTGGGCTCCGGCTGGAAAGTGACTGATGCAGAGACACGGCTGCCGCTCAGCCTCCTGGGACGGAGCCACGAGTGGGAAGACACACAGAGTATTTTCTTGGTTCGGATTCTCAAAAGCCAGCCGCTCAACGCCTTGGATGTGCCGCCAGGGGGGCTCTGCCAAGGGAGCGCTCGGCCCACATGGCCCTGCAGATGGTGCTGTGCCATTTCAAAGGAAGCAGCAGCCGCGCTGGGGTGGCTGGTGGTCCCTGCTCGTTAGCCAGGCCAAGGGACGCAGAGATGCCCCTGAGC